TAATCCGGCTTTATAGATAATGTGCAGTGCAGCTCGCTATATGAGTACTGTTACTACATTGACTGCTTTATGAAGTTACACTTTGTCTAACCATGGGGGTGTGATGCTTTGAGGACACATCGATCCTCTGGTGCAGATGAGTGGAAGCACAAAGAAAGCAAGCAAATGCAAACTAACCTAGCCCACCTGCATGGCTAGTTTCACACTCCTCCAGGTCCTCGTCGTCACTTGAACACTCTGCAGATGACACAATTTCATCTCCTGTGTGCTTCGGGGGCAGAACATTGGTCATCAGAGGTCACAGCAAAGATACCCCAAACACAGAGAGCCACCAGCAAAAACAAAGAAGACACACAAAGACAAGGGGAATATAGAAAACAAGTTAGAAAGGGAGCAAAAGTTCATTTTTGACCTTGGAAACAGTTGGTTGAGAAAAAGATCTTGACTCAAGGTTCACTTGTTGTTGTTGTCAGAGCTTTCCACTCTCTCAATCTGCCTCATTTGATGCGAGTTTGCTCAGTTGCCATGGAGATGGATCAGTTGTGTAGTATGTAAGTAATGTCTCATTTCAGTCTTGAACCGGTGCATGTTGCATTTTTTTTACCATTTGCATTTAGGGATATGAAACTTGTATGTATCACACTTTATGAAATACATGTGTGATACTCAACTTAAGGCCCAAATCTGCCTGAACATTTTCTAATGAACTGTTGTTTGTTTGTTTATGGCAATTAGAATTTTTTATTGATGTCCCTTGGTTGTTACTTGTTATGCATCTGTGCAATGCCATCTCTTGGCAAAGTGAGGACAGCAAACGTCCAAATGATGTCTATGAAAACAGGCAATTTAATCTTTTGCCATCTCATACCAATCCTAAACCACTGATTGCCTAATGACAACCGCTGTATGCAAGGTTGCCAATATCAGGCACCATCACCATTCAAAACATGCCATCTTCAGTGCAGCATTCCTGCCTGGTAGCACCGCAAGAAAAGAAAAGATTATGACTTTGAAGACTTATTTTTAAGTCTTATTCTGCCACGTCAATCAATCCTGATGTTTATTCAATTTAAATGATAAAATATTATGTTTGTTTATTAACTGGCCCCTGTCATTTTGCAAAAGTGGCCCCCTGGAAAAAGCAAGTTGAGTATCTTTGAAATACATGTTCCATGTGTTATATTCTCATTGCAGTTATTGGAATACCAAAACAAAATGTTTCATTTGTGATGCCAACTAAATATTTTTGAACCAATTCTCATAAAACATTGTTTTATTTTCTCTTTATTTTATTTTTATTACTCCAAGTTATTTGTAGGGAGAAAATATAAGTTTGTAAGAAGCCAACAGAAGCCATGTGTGGCAGGCTTCAAATACAATTTCTGAGACTGTGAAGGGATTGGCATGTTCAAGATAAAATGGGGGGAGGCTGGTTTTTTCAAACAAATTGAAGTATCTGACCTTTGAGTGATAATTCCGTCATGAGCCACATATGGAATACCTTGAGTTTCAGTTGTTTGAACTGTTCATTCAGTCTCTTGTCCTGGGAAGTTTCACTGACGTAGTGTCCCCCACAGCTGTCACAGGTGACGTCATGTTGATGTCATACACCACTCTGGTCTTCCTCTCAGGGGGGGTCCTGTCTTTAGGGTGTACCAGCAGAGATCTTAAAGTGTTGAATGGTTTGTGGTAAGTGCTCACTCCTTGTGGCTTGAAGACTCTGGTCGGATGTTCCGCCTTAATTTTGCAGCGTCCAATCCCTCACCCTCCACTTCTTGTACGCGTTTGTGTCTGTGTGAGTGGGCTTTCTTTACACTGTGGTCTATATGCTCCCATCAGCAACTCACATAAACACAGGTGTCTGAGAAAGGGTTAGTGGTTGAAAGCTTGAGAAAAAGCTAATAATTGGACCTTGAGTTAAGATTTTTTTGGTTAACAAACCTGACAAGTAAAATGTAACGCATAACCAATGTCCAACTGGCTTGGAAAGCTTTTAATGTGAAACAGTAGCAATTAAACCATCTCAAATGAGACTCCAGTACAGTTCATTTAATTTGGTATACAGTTAATGGGGAGACACCATCGACATAAATTAAAGGATAGGTTCACATTTTTGTTCTTGGTCTTGTTCAACATTTCCAACTCATGCTTCAAATTATGACGCATGTCGTTTAATGTTTTACTCTACTTATAATTTGATGTGTTTATAAGATTTTACAACAAAAACAAAAACACAAATTGGTTCATTTGGTCTAAATCTGTCCATCAATCAAAAATATCTGGCTGTCAATAGATCAGATTACATTTGTATGAGCAAGGCCCGACTTTTTTGGTCACAACAGCAAAAACCGTATACGTGGTATATTTTGCCACAGTTTATAATCGTGGTGTTTGACCATGTAAAAAATAGATAATAAGTGGCCAGGGATGGCCTCACAGGCACTCCTGATCCACTGCTTGGTTATGCTGAATGCATAGTTTTAGCTGCTGATTTGTTGGTTAGGTCAACTTCAAGCAGGCCAATTTCTACGTATATTACTATTTCTTTGTTTACATGTCTTTATCAACCCTACTAATTTGATGCATTATATTCTTCAGTGCATATTATGAGTATGTGATTTGTCGTATGTGTAGTTCCTGTGATGGAAGTCTGTCGTTACCTGTACAGTTGAGGAGGATCTGTGTTTCCGTGTGGTAGTGGTGGACATCATGGTGGTAGTCTCAATGAAGGTAGTGGACATCTCTGGAGGCATGGCCGTGGTCCTGGCTGAGCCTGCCACACTGGGCACATCACCTACCAACCTCACACTGCCATTAATCTTGATGTTAGGGTTGCCCTCAGCAGCCATGTTCAACACCTTGAGCCCATTGTAATAAAGGCCAGACAGTTGACCCTGAAAGGGCCGGCCGCGATCACTACCACCGATTGCGACTGTCGCTTGGGTGTTGAAAATTGTTAGCTGCCGTCCTAGAGGAGACATCCAGATGTAAGATATTTTCAAGAGAGGAAAGAACCTTTTAATATAGCTTTTTAGCTGTACTATTTATTTGCAACAAGACAAAGGGCGTTATTTTTGTGGTGGTGCAACAACCAGCACAAGCAGTGCTTCAACACTTTGGTATGACCTTGAAATTTGTTTTGTTCATTCCAATGAGGCAGTGCTAGATATGCAGATGGGCAGATAAAAGTCTGTTTCTGATGTATATTTGGTGGTTTTATCAACAAGAGCAAGCTAAATACTTCACCCCATAGAAATATTTACACCTAGTAGATGTATTTAAATCTGCATTTAAAAAAAACATATAATGTGGTTAAAGAATTGATCTGTACACAAATATGGGCGATTCTTACAGTATCCTAAAACATTTTTTTATGTGTTCATCAGTGATGATATCATTTGACCATTTACAGCGTGAGTCAAATTTATGATTTTTTTCTTGATTTTTATTGCTCATTTCAATTGTCTTTGTACTAATTTACACACACTAATTGAGATATGATTTTCTGGAAGTGTCTCTCCATTTGTTGAATCAATCTTATCCCAGTCTGTGTACCTAAGACCGACCACGTTGCGCTGGTCGTTGCTTTTGCACCATTAAAATAGGACCCTCTAAAGCCATGCCGGCAGCTACATGAATATGCTAACATTTCATAACAATACGAGATTTCTTCTCATCTCATAAGTCCTTAATTCATATTATATTTTGAATTATTTTACATTTTATTGTTTAATTTCTTTACAGTCTTTAGTTAGTTATGTATTTATCATGTTTAGCCCATGAAGTTACATATAAAGTTGCATGCATGGGTTCACATTCATGTTCATGCCAGTGAAACTAAGTTTATTGGTCATTTGTTAGAAATGGAAAGCAGCACTCGGAGAACTTAAAAGGAAAGCTTGAATATGTTATGGCCTGCATTAATGTGGCATCTCCAAGGTTGAAGTATCACAGAAAAAAAAAAATCTAAAATCACACAGTTCATTTTAGCCTTGAGCAGACATTTAATCTTCTCATCATAGAAGTGCAGAGGAGGTTTTTCACATTGTATCAGTGAACACACATAAGCATAGAAAAATGTTTGTTCGAAATTACCTTTCTCTTGTAGCCACTCTTCTACTGGTCTGGCGTATTTGAAAGGAATTTTCTTATTGGCCATTTGATAGCGTTCAATGTCGCTGTTCCCTTTAAAGTTTAAGAAGACATTTATGAAGACATTTATTGATCATCAGCATCATGGCACCTGCAGAAAATACCACTTTCACTCTAACATTTACAATATGTTTAAATGATTTTAGCTGAAGATTACAATTTTATTAAACTTGTTTTAATTGCGGCAGAACTCAGGCTCATTATTTTTGTTTTTTATAAAACATTTTTTTACCAAGTGAATGCATAATGGAAGATGCTTTGGTTGTATTTTACACCTGGGTAGTGAACTTGGTGACTACACATTGTACAACACATCCTCATATTTAAACAACGGACTACGACGATTGTCAGTGGCTCCAAAATGACAAGCAACCAGGCGCGAGTCCCAACTTTTTTAATTGGGCTGGCACAAGAGGGGCACTCACTTATGCAGGGGTGGCATGAAGTATGTGTTTGAGCTTTCCAGTCATTCCCAATTTATGCAATTCCAATACTGTATATGGACCAATACTGTATACCGAAATATACTAATACACTCACAAAAACATCATGGGATTAGGTTAAATAGGGCATTCATTTGCGAAGGGGAAGCTTGTGGGTACCCATAGAACCCATTTACATTCAGATATCTTGAGGTCAGAGGGATCTTTTTAAAAATGGCCATGCCAGTTTTTCCATTGCCAAAATTTTGCCTCATTTCGGAGCGTTATTTAGCCTCCTTCCTGACATGCCAGCATGACATGGTTGTACACTAGTATCTTCACTCTAGCTTTAAAATGGAGCCCAGTACAGCCCCTAGAATACAGTGCGTAGTGAAATATGTAAGGCACCCCAGGCCCCCCCTGTGGAAACAGGCTGCATGCTGGACCTTAAGTGCATTTTTAAGTCTAGTGGCGTTAAACACATGGTTAACGTTGTAAACACATGGTCAATGTTGTAAACTAAGTTTGGTTAGGTTTAGAAAAACATCATGGTTTGAGTTAAAATATGTAAAAGTAAAGTATGTTATCTTACACACGTTACGTTAAAACATGTGGTTAACTTTGTGAAACATGCAGTTTGTTAAGGTGTAGGAAACAAAACTACTAATAAATAATAATTACGACTTATGTAAGTCACTAATGTAAAACTATGCAACTTAAAATTTTAAATAAGTTATTGGACTTTTGGCTTTACATGGGACACAACAGCCTCCTGGGTGAAAGTTCTGTGTTTTACCCATCCATCATTCCCTATATAGACTATCTTGCTCTTTATACTACTACCATCATAATTACTACAGCCACTAAAGGTCGCCACTTAACAATAACCGTAAATATGGGTTGAAATAAACTGCTTGCACAATCGACATATACAGCCTTTTTTCCGGTGAGGACGGGCTGATGTGACATCGCATGCGCATACTCTGTTAATGGAGGAACCTTGTTTACTGTAAACAATGGTAAACAGTGTCTTCATTGAATCATGGTGAAATTAAATCCATGTTAAAATCAGCTCAATGGATCTGCTTCTTTTTCTTTTTGTAATTGACGTATATTTTAGTAAAAACAGAAGAAGAAAAGAAGGATGAGCCCTGAGCATAACTGAAGGGTTATAGAAATGGTAAAAACGTCTCTGGCCCTCTATTGTAATATGACAGAGAAATAACAGGACATGGCACCACACAGTACACTACACATACATAAGGGTAGAGCTAAACATAATTTACAGTTCACTGGGCAGCATGTTTGTTTATGGAACTGACACTCAAAACTACGCAAAGGTATTAATAAGGATCTCAAATATAGCTAAATAGTCAGTGAGGATTCAGAGCTTACACAAAATAGTACAATGGTATGCCATGACTCGGTTCTACACTACATGTAGTATGTCACTGGGTCAAGTAAAAGCTTCACCTTAAATTTACCATTTGGGAACAATGCAAACTAGCCAACAAATAGTTTTGCATCATGTCAACTTTAAAATGATATTCAGTTGGTTGCAATGTCACCACTAGATGCCACTAAATCCTACACACTGGTTCTTTAAGGCAGACTCAATTACAGGGATTAGACTGTATTAGATGAGGCTAATGCTGTAACAGGCTGAAAGAGTTACAAAGAAAACACTGTCCTCAATGAAATACAACAAAAACAGCCAGGCCAAGACAGGACAGGAGCTCAAAAGGGGCAGAGCCCTGAGAACAACTTGAGGATCCCAGGTGGAACTGGAACACATGAGTGTTACATAGAGACTGAGGTAGAAGCTGCAAAAGTACTGAGAGCTGATCACAGAGAGATTTTTAGATACAGCGCTTTCTCTCTAGTCTTCTAGGTAAAAGTCCCTATACAATTAACACATTTCCTAATTTAACACTTGATGTTCATTTTTCTTCTTCTGCTGTACATATACTTGTTTTTTTCTGCCAAAGAACACAGAGGTATTTTCAGTAGCCAAGAAAGTTTGGTTTTGCTAACTCAGGAAACTGACAGGTTTGAGACAATGTCGAAAACCCTTCAGTCACTGCTCAAAGACAAATGACTCCACGTTAACACACCAGCACTATCACTGCACTGCAGGATCACCATCACGGTTCAAGGACATACACTGTTCTCTCCCCCTCTCCTCTATGTACTGACACTTGCTGTGACAGTGTGACGAAAATATGACTTTATGAAACGATCCACAGCGTTTTCATTTAATCGCATGGGATTAGATGGCAAAGTCTCAGTGAGCGGCTTATCTGGCTCCCTCTCACCTCCAAACATGCACACACAGCACTGAGCAGCAACTCCACAAAGGTTTTATATGGCTTCAAGATTGTGTCTGATAGTGGTAATTGTATTTGTCCTGTTGGGGTATATACAGTAGGGTGTCGCAGTCAATCTCCGCTCACTATCTGCGGTCTATATGCCCAAGTGGAATGTTACTCACACTCTTCCCTACAGCTTTCTTTTATCGTCCTTTACCCATTGAAAAATAAGTAAACGTGCAGCATTGCATCTGGTGGCCACAACGTGCCTTGGAAAGTGTGAAACAGGGGAAAGCATGGGTGCTGTTTTGAATGGCAGCAGAGGGAACAAGACCCCAGCTTACATCACCACTGTCCCCACTCTTTTTACTCCCAAATCTTATACTCTACCGAGCACTAAATACTGTAAGTAAGTATGTGCTTGTGCTATATTTAAGTAAACTGTTTAAAAGCTTTAAAGCATTAGTTGGTAAAGCAGACGGTGCCCAGTGACCTTCTCAACTCTCTCATAATGGCGTGATCCCATTGCCTTATCATATCTTATACTAGTAGGTTTTTACTTTTAACTGTCAGTTTTGCAAACAGTTATGATTGCCAAAAGCAGAAATGTAAAAAAATGTTTTGGTTTGATTGATTAATTAGCGCTGTACCTGTTGGGAAGTGTTCATTGATTGACCAGTTGTCCACCTGCAGCGTAGCGTTGCCACCATTCCTGGTGAAGCGGACAACATGATACTTCCCATCATTCACTGGGGTACTGCTCTCCTGCACACTGATATCCACTGTGCCAATGTTGAATGTCACCCCGATTTTGCCTTGTTGCTGAAATTAGAAAACACAATTATTCACTCAGTTATTCATTGTAAACACTGAAACATTGGATGCTTGCATCTCCTTGTTGTTTTAAACAGAAATAAAGTGTTTGGACAAAAATCATTTCGAGGTAGTGGAATTAAGAAACACCCCTTTGACCCTATGACTTGAATCTCTATCAGCTGATAAACAGCAGCAGACGCTGTAGGAAAATCAAAATAAACCACTGTCTACAAAAGTCTCTGTAACTTAAGGCCTGCAAATTCAAATAGGATGAAACATATTTAAAAAAAATCACATGTATATGAAGAATTGTGGGGGAGATAAAATAGAGGGAAAACATACATACATACATAGACTATTCAGACATCTCAATTTCTAAATTAAAGCTGCTGTGGGAACTGTGCAAACAGCCAATAGAACATGACCGCTTCATATAGCCTTGAGTCAACTGATGCCCGTTGCACATACCAGGCAACCGAACAGCAGAGGTACAGCAAACAGAAAAAAGAAAAGAAAACAGAAAAGTAAAGGTGCAGAATGTGTGTGAGAACTTACTATGTGCAGCATGAGATAGTCACCCAGACCAGGTGCGCTGTCAATCCTGACCAGGATGCCATCTTTCAGGGAGGTGCTGAAACCGACGGTCAGCCTGTCGGTCCTGGTGCTCGGCCTCTCATTGGCTGGCCACTTGAATGTGATGAGGCCTCCTCCTTTGCCAAAGATGTACGTCGTCCCAGCTAAACAGAGCAGGAAGAGGAAGTATGAATAATAGGCTCAACTCGAAACTAAATCAAGGACCACATCCTATACCTTATATCCATACATAATGTCAGTTGAAAATGTCATGTACTGGTAAGGCGCTGTAACAGGTACAGTCAGCTCTACAATCCAAGTATTTGTTATCTTGGCTCAACCATAATGGATTTGAAATAAAAGGGTATTGATAGCAATATTGGGTGCAGGTACCACATACTCATTGTAAGCCTTCTCCAAGTCCCCAAACAACCCACCACTGACTACGTTTTGTAGTTAAAATTAATACATTTCAGACTTCATAATCAATAAAGTTAATATGAAGTTGGCAGGATAGGTTACTGACTTAACCATTTAGACCTCACCTGGCCCCATTGGTAGAACTGTTGGCCTTACCTTAGCACTGGCTTTGCGTCTACAGGAAAACACTTAAAACGGACATGTTGCATGGAATTCTTTTAACTATTTATTATTATAAAGTTGCAAAAAGCAATTCACACAGTTTAGTAAGTGTGTCATTTAGATTTTAGCCTCCACATGTTGGCTGTCTTGCCATATGCTGCTCCGTATGGCTGCTGCATGAATGTATGTTTATGTGTGTGTGCCTGGGGAAGTGACAGTGTGTGTGAGGGTGTATGTGACTGCTCGCTATTATACTGTACCTCCCAGGATTTTACCAGAAGCCCACACAACCAATTCTCTCACACACAAACACACCCACAAAAACACTATCTGACACACATACAGGCTAGCTAATGCTAATGAGCAAGCCCAGGCAGATGGGGCTCTTTGCTGAGGCAGATAACGCCAGGCGGGCATAATGGCGCTTTGTTGCCCAAGCCCAGAACCCCCACTCTTGCCTTCCTAGCCAAGCCGCTTCAGTCTGTACAAATTAGTGCCCTTATGAAAACAATTGCCTCCCCCTTATGCCTGCTGAAAAACTGTTAATTCATCTAATACAATGTGCCAATACCGCGTGGGTGTACCAATTTCAGCTGCATGCCCCAAAACTCACTCTCCCCACTGTTCTCTGTGGCCGCCCACCTGAAAAAGCAGAAAGAAAAATATGGAAATCAGCCGATGCCTTTGCCCCTAAGGATGGGGAGCACAATGCAGCAGTGTGTGTTGTGACTGTATTGTATTGCAGTCGGGGTCACACGTTGTGAATGTTGTGGGTCTGATGCTCAACAGAGTGAGGTGGCAGGCTGGTGGTATAGCTTACACTGCAAGTACATGTTACGTTTTGCAAAGAGAGACAACGGGACTGCGTAAGGATCCAAAACCACAATGAGCTGAAGGAGAGGTTAATGATATGTAGGTTAATGATCAGTAAACTAAGCTAGTAATATTATGTTGAACAGGCACTCCACAGGCACACCAACTGATTTTTCCCCAGTGCTTTTTGCCAAGGCGTTTCTGAAGTGTCGCACCTGTAGCTGTGTGTGATCGGCTTCTAAACGGACAACTGTGACACCAAAGTATCTGAGAAGCAATGTGCTTCTGTCAACTTTGTACAAAGCAGCAGTCTAACTCTACAGCGACAACGAATCTGCTGACTCACTTGCTAACGTTAGCAAGTGAGTCAGCAGATTACCCCAAGTTATTGCGGAGTGTACAACCAAATTTAAAAAAATGCCTGTAAGATAACAATATTTATACGCAAGGATATGCAGCCCACTGGTGTGGTACAAGTAAATGTCCGAATAATATTCACATTCCATGTTCTCCTGTGAAGTGCCATCAGTTGTACTGTGTTATGATTTTTTTATTAATTGCGTGTCATTTCAAATTAGTTTGAACTCTTTATCTTTCTTTATCAATATACATCTGTGCGTGTGCTTATGACCACCACCTGTAGGATCGATACCGCCAACCCTGCAGTGTGGATCAGCACAGTAAGGAGTGCCCCACCAAATCAGATAACATCATATCACATATAAGAACACCTTCCATGATGCTGATACTGATCTAATTTAACAGTAGCCTTACAGCTACTGTGCCTCCAGAACATACCTGGCTATTTGACTACATGAATTATACATCAAGTTATAACACCATCTAACCCAATTCATATTAATTTAAGCTATTTGTAATGTAGGAGAGCGTGGCGAAAATATTAGGCTGTGTGGCAGTAAAGTTAAGAAAACTTTGCTAATACCTTTGTCTGTGCTCACTCCATTTAAAGGTCAATGTAGTGATCACACAGCTGCTGTCATTAACCTGTATATATCCTGATTTTGTCTGACGAACGCAGTTATATAATGATTTGCAGGAGTGCAGCAGGCCGTACTACTGTGGAAATGATTCTGAGATGCTTTAAAGCAGTTTCTTTTCTTTTTAAGTTTTTTGAACCTAGTCCAAGTCAAGTCTTGAGTATTTAGAGATCTAGGTCCAAGTAAAAAGCCTGGTATTGTAGGTATTTATATATTGTGTAGCTGGAGTTTGATTGATCAATATGGATGAAGTGTTTGAGTACTAGTTTTAAGTACGTGTTACATAGAAAAACGAGTAGGACTGAACAAATAAAGAAAATAAGCCTTAATGGAAGTGGGGCATAGCAGCTTTTTTCTGTAGTTAAGTTGACTGAATACATTTAACATTACAACTGATGACATTCTCTGTGGGAACTGTTGCCTGTTTAATGGCTTAACCACATGCACTATTGTACTTCGTCCACCAGGTGGCACTGGTGTACATTTTCTATATTTGTCTCAGTTTTATTTGACTGTTTTTTGAGAGTGAAATAGAGTTTGTTTTGTTATCTTTCCAAGTTTAAAACCTCTCTGCCAAAAATGGATTTTAACAGGGAACACACTGTACAATCACTGGCTAAACCACAGCAAGTCAGAGTTATGTGGTATTGTTGTGTTGCTTCATATATACATAGAAATAAAAGTGCACACAGTGCTGCTTTGCAGTGATGAGGGTCCAGATGGAGACATTACAAATGGTGGTTAAAAACATAACCCAAGTAACCCCCTTGCAAACATATGGTATTTTGGTATTTTGATGACTTTCTCACTCCCATATATAAATGTACACAAACACACACACACACACTCACTCACTCACTCACTCTCACACACACCTGGCCACTCCAAATTGAAAGCAAGAGCTGAATTATGATTGCAATAATCACATCACAATGAGGATCAAAAGGTGTCCCACTGCAATCACCAAAACAATCATTGATTCACAAAAAACATCAGCACATCGGCACTGCAGCAGCCAGAGACATTTCTAGAAACAGCTCCAAATATGTTTTAGTAATGGAATGACCGGATAATATAAAACCTAACTGTGGGACTACATGTGTATGGGTAAAAGGCTCTAGAAATCACAGACAACTGACAACAACTCAAAATCAATCAAACAAAAAAATCCAAACAGAAAATACAAACATAACACTGTGAAGAACACCCACCCTAAAAACCAAAGGAGAGACAGCCTGTCTGTGAGGGACTGGCAGATGTGTCCAGATGTAGCTTAATTAAAGTTCTATGGACACCCATTCTTTTCCACAACCTCCAGCCCTGAGGTGCAGCTCCATCATTAATCCATGGAAGAGTACAGGGGTAGGGGGGTAGCATTACAACAAAATACAGCAAAATTAGTGAATGAGGAAGAAATGGAAAAAAAAATAATAACAAAGAGATAAAGAGAGAAATAAATTAAAGTGTAGTGCTGGCAGGAGAGTTTGTTATTGTCAGTGCTATTTATGTAGGCATAAGTACGTACCCAGGGCTGTAACTAGATTATTATTATTAAAATAAGGGAAAAAAAGTTTAAAATAAAGAAAATTCCATAGCAGCTAATAGTAATAGTGGTGATAAGAATAAGCTCTATCACTTAGACTTTATTATTCAAATAGTAAAGTAGATGTGAGTGTACAATGGGTCTGCTCCATAGGCCTCCATTATAGTCTCTGGACAGTTTTCTGTCAAATTTGCTGATGATATAATCCAGAATTTTAAACCAGGTTGATGTAGGTTGTATTGGGTTCATTTTTTGGGTAGTAAAGGGCTGCCCAGCAAGCAGCTCCCTTAAATCTCCGAAAACAGATTTTTGTAATAAAATGGTTATCAAGGTTTCATACTTCAGCAGCTCCCAAGATGCCATCTGATTCGTCGACTAGGTGAGATGTGGGAGATGTGGCTACACAATTTTCAGGACTGACATACAGTAGATGATGGATACAGTGTTCAGTCTGTTTATGTGTTTACACCACTTGTAACTTTTTGTCTGTCTGTACTTCCTGTCTGTCAATCCTGGACCGGTGTAATGATGTGCAAGTTCTCAACTCAGCCCAGAAGAAAATAGTCAGAGCTGTTCATTATTTGACGAGTTGGACCAGGGTGCAACCGGGCCAGCCTCCCTGATGACTGATGATTCTACCATTATTATCTGCCCTCATTTGTTCTTGAATCTGTTTGCTAAAATGGCATACTTATTAGGGTTTGAGGGCAGATGAGCATAACTTAACCAACGATTCATGGAAATTCACTGGTTTAAGGCTGAGATCTCTATGTCTATGTAATATAATTCATAATATAATTCATATTCTGTCTAAGTTGCACTGAAATTCCATTGCCATCGTGATTGTTCCAGCCTGCAGCAGCGTTCGTCAGAAAAAATAAACTCTGTAAAGGCTTCTTGAGCAACAAAACACAAAACATTCTCCTCTATCACAGCTAATTACCATGGAGCCTTCAGACAGAGGCTACACACACATAAAAGTTTCTAATGCTGTCGCTGCTGTAACAATTAGTTTATTAACTGATTAGTCGATTAGCAGGAAAATTATTGGACAAAAACGCCAAACATTTTCTGTTCAGGCTAAAGAAAAGTGTCACGAGTTTAATGAAAAATGTAAAAATAATTATTGATTGAGCCCTGTGTGTTCTTCATGGCCATTATCCTCTTTCTGTTAGTTAAAGGTTTGCAAAGGGTCCAGAATGGAAAACTGTCAAGTACCAAAAGTTGC